CACCCTCTCGCCCCGCATGGCTGACTCGGACGTCCCCAAACGCCACGAGAACGACATCAGCCTTGAGCGCATCCCCAAGGACCACCCCTACATCAAATACAGTGAGGCCAGGGGGCGAGGGGGTCCCCTGGTCCCCTCCCTCAGCTGGGGATGCCCCGCTGAGCATCCCCCTCCTGCCCCATGTCCCCTCAGACGTGCTGTGGGAGGAGGGCAAGGCCGCCCTGGAGCAGCTGCTCAAGTTCATGGTGCACCCGGCCATCTCCAGCATCAACCTGACGGCCGCGCTGGGCTCGCTGGCCACCATCGCCCGCCAGCGGCCCATGTTCATGGCCGAGGTCATCCAAGCCTACGAGACCCTCCACGGTAAAACGCCACCTCCCCGGCGCTGTCCTGGCCCCGCAGAGGGTGTGTCCCTTGTCCACGGGGTCCCTGCAGCCACCCCCCATGGCGCCCCTAACGTGGGGGTCCCCCCCTCTCCTTTATTTGCAGCCAACCTGCCCCCCACCTTGGCCAAGTCGCAGGTGAGCAGCGTCCGTAAGAACCTGAAGCTGCACCTGCTGAGCGTCCTGCGGCACCCATCCTCGGGGGACTTCCAGCCCCAGATCACCACTCTTCTCGTGGACCTGGGCACCCAGCAGGCCGAGATCGCCCGCAGCATGCCCAGCCCCCGCGATGCCCGCAAACGGCCCCGCGACGAGCCCGATGCCGCCCTCAAGAAGATGAAGATCGGTGAGAGTCGGGGCTGTCGCTGTCGGCCCCTCCCCAGCGGCACTACGCACCCTTGGGGCTCCTCCCTGCTTCCTCTGGGGCATAAAATGCCCCCTCGGGTCCTCCCAGTGCCCTCCTGGGGACATTACAACCCCCCAGGCTCCTCCCAGTGCCACACAGGATCCTCCCACTCCCTGCTGGGGACAAGCGGTGGCATTAAATACGTCTCAGGTCCTCCTGGTGCCCATGAGGGCCCTCCCAGTGCCCTCCTGGGCACAGGTGGTGGCATTAAACCCCGCCTCAGGTCCTCCTAGTGTCTCCTAGATTCCTCCCAGTCCGTCCTGAAATCCTCCCAGTCCCTTCCTGGTCACACTGGGAGTGGGTGGTGGCATTAAACTTCCCCAGTGTCCTCCCAGTGCTCTCCTGGGGAGGACTGGTGGTGCTAAACACCCTCCAGCTTCTCCCAGTGTCCCCTAGAGTCCTCCCAGTCCCTCCTGAGGTCACTCCCAGCCCCTTCCTGGTCATGCTGGGGTGGGTGGTGGCACTGAACACCCCTCCCCCAAGTTCTCCCAGTGCTGTCCTAGGGACCATCAGTGGCACAAGAGACCCCCCCCAAGTCTTCCCACACCTCCAAGGCCGCCGCTGCCTGGCAGTGCCCGATCAAACCCTCGGAGCCGGGGCGTGACCATGACCCCCCTCCTGACAGAGCCCCCCCTGGGCGAGGACGACGAGGACAAGGACCTGGAGCCCACGGCAGTGACGGTGCCCAAAGCAGCCGGCCAGGCCAGCGTCCCCTCGGACACGGATATCACGGCCGAGTTCCTGCAGCCGCTGCTCACCCCGGAGAACGTCGCCAACCTGGTCAGGGGATGTGGCGGGGCGGCTGGGGACACGCAGCACTTGAAGAGGTGTGGGGGGCTGTAACGGGGTGTTGTCCCCCCGCTTCATGCAGGTGCTGATCAGCATGGTGTACCTGCCCGAGGCCATGCCCGCCTCCTTCCAGGCCACCTACACCCCCGTGGAGTCGGCTGGTACTGAGGCGCAGATCAAGCACCTCTCCCGCCTCATGGCCACGCAGATGACGGCGGCAGGGCTCGGCCCGGGTGAGACGCAACCCCGTGTCCCCTTCTTTCCTGCACAGCAGCACCTTTTCGGGGCACTCACCCCCCTTACAACAAAGAACCAGCGCTGGGTTTTAGCACAATAAAGTAATAATTTACGGGATTTGGTCGCCCCCGGCACCACTGCAGGCGTGGAGCAGACGAAGCACCTGAAGGAGGAGCCCAAGGAGGAGAAGGCAGCCAAGCCCGAGAGCGTGGTGATCAAGCGGCGGCTCTCGGCGCTGGCCCAGGGCCAGGCCATCTCCGTTCTGGGTGCCCAAGGCTCGGCTACCAACCTGCTGGAAGAAGAAGCCCCCCAGGCCAAACGCCGCCCTGAGCCCATCATCCCAGCCACACAGCCCCGGTGAGCCCCGGGGTGCCCCTCTGTGCCCCCCCGGGGAGACCCCTGGGTGCTGAGGGGCTCTTTCCCCCCGCAGGCTGGCGGGCGCCGGCGGCCGCAAGAAGGTTTTCCGCCTGAGCGACGTGCTGAAGCCGCTAAGCGACACGCAGATGGAGAAGCTGAAGCTGAGCGCCGTCAAGCGCATCCTGCGCGCCGAACGCGCCGTGGCCTGCAGCGGGGCCGCCCAGGTGCGCCTGGCACCCCCTGGCCTTGGGGCGAGCCCCCCCCACCC